CACACACACACACATATATACATGTTTATATACACACACGCACACACACACACACACACACACACATACACACTCATACACACACACACACACACGCACACACACACACACACACACTATATGTATGTGATAAGAGAGTTTTTGTATGCACGTACATGTTCTATGTTTATATGTATACACAGACATACATATCTATAGTCTTTTCCGTTTTCCTTTTTTTAACAGATTCATAGCCAGGAGGAAGCACCTGAATCTTCAGAGATTCTTATTACAGAGACAAGGAAGACGCTCTGTCTACCATTCTCAGAGTAAGCTTGTCATAAAAATTTGTGCATAACAACGTCCGACCCTGCACCTCATACACCTCCTGGTCAGGATTCACCCTCACACTGTCAGAGTGAGCTCCTGTCTCACGTGAGAAAAAAACAAAAAACAAACAAAACCCAAAAAAATCCCTATAGACTGTGGTATGACTCCATCGGGTTTGTCTGAAACGACTGGAGAGATCCGCCCCCGGAAGTCGGCAATGACGTCATCAATGTTAGCGTCGTGGTCGTTGTCCCCATCCTTATCGTCATCCTCGTCGTCGTCTGTGTCGAGGGTGGCTCTGTGCCTGAGCTGCTTGCTGCTGTTCGCGCCGTTGCCAGCCGATGGCTACTTCAACCGCATGATGAGCTGCCCACAGTTCTGCCAGATGCTGGCTCATTCGCAGGTATGTGCACACCGAAAAAGTTTTTTCTTCTTCTTCTTCTTTTTCTTCTTCTTCTTCTTTTTCTTCTTCTTCTTTTTCTTCATGTGTCAGGTCTGGAGCAGACATTGGCAATCATGATACCCCACTCCTTCCTGTTGTCTGTCTTTTTGATCAGCTCGGTTTATCGTTGCAAAGTTATTTCGGCCATCTGTGTATGTTGTTCTTTTCTTCTTCTGCTCTTCTTTCCATCTATCTTTCCACACAGCAGCAGTTTTTCTAGTCTACTTAATCCATTTATGTGGCCAATTAATGTCAATTATAAAATTTTGATGGTTCTGATTATGATTCTTTCACTTCCCACCTTTCAGGGAGCTTCTCTATTTGTTTTCCTTTTTGTCCATGAGATCCTTCGTATTCTCCTTAAATACCACGCCATTTCAACGGCCTCCAATTAAATATCTATAAACAAATTTTAATAGAAAACACCAGTAAAGACTTAAGCTTTAGTTCGTCCAACTCAAAAACATTACGGCTTTTTACAGATAACTGTTGACTGCCTGCATCGATTTTTATTAAACTTTTACCAGTAGGTTTGTTTCCTTTTGTTTTGGAGTTTGGCACTCTCTCCATATTTTTTTTCCGTCCATGAAAATCGAAAACTCCAAGTAGCTTCGCATTAGTGATTCATCACGACGCTTGGACAAGATCAAGAAGGAATCACGCCAAAAACCGATGTGACAACACCCCATTCCCATACGT